GAGGAATTCCAGGTGTCAGAGCTTAGATACACAAATCAGAAGGCATTCTTGGTGACAAGTAGTCCTGACAGTTTAAGACTTGAGCACAAACAATAAGATAAAGAGAGGTCTCCAAAAACCATAAAACAGGATGTGTCAGAGAGCCCCATCACCAGCGGTTGGGGGAGTCTCTCAAGATAAAAATGTCTCTTGAAGGTCCATAAACCATCAAATGGCTCAGGGTCTGTTTCAAGGCTGGTATGAGCTTAATTGGCCTCAGAGTTGCTGATTTTCTATGCATCCAGTTGGGTTTACTCTCAGTCATCACACAGGATTGTTGGTATGTCAATCCACTCTTTATCTTAGCTAATACAGCCAGTCTTCATACAGCTTTTCTCAGTTACCTGGATAATTGAGAGGCTCAAACAAATCCAAGTAGTTAGCATATCCATTTTCACATTAGGAACACATGTGTTCCTAAGCTGTATGCCCCCTATGCAAGTATAGTCTTCCCATTGATGGCATGGTATTTGTAGAAGAATGTGCCCCAGGTTTGGGGGCCTTTTAGCTAGCCATAGCCACTGTTTGTCATTCATTTACTTAAAGAAACCTGGGCAAAATATTCTCTCTGCCCCGGGTAAGTAATAAAAGTTAATCAATAACTCTTTCCTAACAGTTTTGAGTCTTTCTCTTCCTGGGTACTCCCCAATTGTTTTTTTTTCCTACTCTGTTAGAACAATTATGTGCATAGTTTAGTAATGGGGTGGTTTTTTATCAGCTTTTATCAAATTTTCTGGCTTAAGACAAATGAAAATGTTTAAATTCAGAAAAGTTTAAAAAAAATTTTTAAGGAACTGAGACAAACTATCCCGTAATCCTGGGGATGATAGGAGGTTTGGCCCCTGTGGAAAAAGAGGGAGGGAATAGGGGATTAAATGAAAAATCATTGGACACTACTGCCTGAATGAATTTCAGCAAGGCCAGAAATGCCCTGGCATACCTTTTGGACATTATTGACTGCCCTAGAGCTCCTCTGTGGTGGCAAACCCCTCTGCAGTTTTCTAAGTGTCCCTCTACCATTGACCATCTGCTGCTTTTGACTGGCTTTCAGGATTTTTCTTCTTCCTTCCCAGGAATTCAAAGGGGGGGATAGAGTGATCTTGTACATAAAAATCAGGTTTTTCTTCAGTCCTCAAGGTCAAGGCAAAACTTTGCCAATTGAGAAGGTAACACCTCTGCTGGAAACCAGCAGACATCCATCTGTAGCATCCTGGTTACTTTGTCAAAAAATGAAGTAGGTATGGTAAAGAAAGTGATGGAAGGGCCTTTTCTCTCCCAGATTCATAGCATATGCAAATATTGTGACTTTTTCTTGACAGTTTATATCCTGGTGATAAAAAGCCTTGTAATTGATTACTTAGCCAGAACAAAGCATGCATACAAAAGACTTCAACAATTACAAGCTCTCTTTTCTCCTGAAGGCTTTTAGATGAGGAGGAAGAAGAACTGTTTTGGGCCCCAGTTGGGGTTGGGGTCTTCCACTCTCTCTCTGTTACTATGTCACCATCTTTTCTGGGCCTTGTTTCAGAGGAAAGCCTCTCCCGAGAGGTATAAAGGGAGTATCCAGAGAAAGAGTTATACCCAAAAGGTCCTTACCTACCTGCCTACTCACCAGCCAATAATATAGCAGCCACCACTATTAGAAACCAAATTTCAGACTTTATAAAATTGAGGGAACAATTTTTTTAACCTAACCTAAAGTCTCAAAGGATTCATCAGACTAGAATCCATCACTGGATTTAACTGCTGGCAAAATGTGACATTGACATTAAGCCCTGTTAGTATATCTGAATCTAAGTAAAGTCGGAGAATTTGCTAGGAAATGTATGGGATAAATCATATTACTCATAAGGCACAAGGGAGTGAGTGAATGCTTAAAGTACTTCAAAGAACAAGTAAACTGATATGCAAATATTATAAGCATAATACTGACAGTCTGCCATCCATCATGTCACAGGACTATCCATCAGTATAATCTCTTTTTTACTAAAAGTTGTCAGTCTTTGAGTGGGAATTTTTTTTCTGTAATAACAAGTTCAATTTTAAGATTCATTCATTTTTTCAGTATTTGTTAAGGATTTTCTCTGGGAAAGATACATGGATGGATAGAATGAGACAATCATTGACCTGGAGCTTTCAGTGAAAATTATTGTTCACTTTATGACCAATTTTAATGGAATGTTTTATTGTACGTAACATGGTTACATTTATAACCCTAGTACGTTCATGTCTTAGAATTTATTTTTCAGAAAATGAGGGAGTTGAAATAGATAACCTCTGAGGTCCCCTCAGGCTCCAAAACTACAACACTAGTATTCTATATTAAATGTACCCCTGTGGTTGGTTACCACAGTGGTTAGAGAATGGTGTGGTTGAGGCCACTTGCTCACTGAATGAGCCAGTTAGCTTTAAACATTAAGGATACACCTGCATTTTAATTCTCTTCAGTCTTTTCACAAATAAATTCTTAGATACATGTGAATGAGTTAATGTAAACCATCAACATTACACACAACAATAAAAAAAATTGGAAAATCACCTAATGTATTAATAGTGACATCTTCATATATGAAGGGCAGCTAGATGGTGAGGCTATTTCATAGGGCTGATGAATTTAAAGCTGGAGGGGGCTTTAGAAGCCATCTGTTTGACCCCCCTAATTTTACAGATGAAGAAATTGAGACCAGAAAGGTTCAGTGACTTGGCCAGCATCACACAGGTGGTAAGTGGCCAAACCAAAGCCAAAAACCAACTCCAATGCCTTCTCCACTGTACCATATACTTAATATCTGAAGCTATATTACAAGTAATCCAAAATAGTATTCTCAGTTAATAAGATATAGAATCAAAATAATCCTTATTGCAGCACATTAATCATGAAATCTAATACTAATGTGCAAAAGATAATTTATAAATGCTTGTAAGTGAAATTAATAAAGAAAGAGATTGGAAAATTGATATTGTAGTCAAATGTTGCAAATAAGAAATGAGAGACTCATTGGTGGGAGGAGGGAATCCAGAAACTCTACATACTGACTTTATTTTCCCTGCAACTTTTAATGCACATACTGGCATATTTTTTAATGTTTTTCTTTGTACTCTGGTGAAGAATAAAATAGGACTCCTAAAATAAAATTGACATCAACAGGAATAGCCATCACTCAGCAACTTCTCCTTCAAGCTTCATTCCATCCAGATTTATCATCCTAGCCAGGTCCTAGTTGTAGTTATCTATCAGCCCTCAGGTTCACAAACCCTTCACAAAGAACTCAGTAGTGGCCCAATCTTCCTCCCCAACTCAAACCTTATCCTTACATGTGAAGATTTCAATATAGATGTTGATATCCCCTCATATACCTTTGCTTCTCAGTTTATCAAACTGTTTGATTTTCCAGAGGTTCCCAAAGTAGGTGATGCTGCCCCCTGGGGGGTGGTAGTAGCCTCAGGTGCAATTGGTGGGCATTGAATACAAATAAGGGGGGGAGCGATGGAAAGAAGAGAAGAGAAGAAAATTTTGAAAAACCATTCATACATGTTTCATCTGTTATGTAAAAGCTGAAGTTGTAGTGATTCCATTTTTTTCCAAATAAACACACAAAATGCAAGTTATAACCTATCAGTGTTCAAGTCTGCCAACAAGTCTTAATAAGCAAGTTTTGGTAATATATGTGCATGTAATGACTTGTTCACGATACGATACTATACAGTTACATGACACAATATTGCATCATCAAAATTTCAATGCAGGAAAAACCCCACAGATTTAAAATAAATTATCAAATTTAAGATGCATAACTTTTTTTTTGAAAAGGGAACAGTAGGCCAAATAAGTTTGGGAACCTCTGGATTAAACCTTCTCCATTCAGTCAATCAGTTTTAGAACTAAGTCAGTGTGGTATCTGCAGGAGTCCTTATATATGTCCTGTGAACCATTTTGACCTATCCATCCCCTGAGAAAAGGCCTAAATCCTGGATTGGCCAATCAGGAGAAAGACATTTTTGGCCCACTCTGAGCTTAACCTACTATAATGCCTTGCACACTATGGCATAACAGACATGCTTTGCTCTCTGAGTGAACCCAGAATGCCCATTCCTGTGTCAGCAATTATAAAGCCAGATGAGGCTGACCAGGAGCATTCTTCTGTTTATGACTGCCAAGGACAAGGCACCTTGAACCAGACACAATCTTGAGTAATGGGACTTTTCTTCTCTTGGTATTTTATGGACACATATTATGTTATGGTATGTCATGTTAATGATGGAAGAAATAGACATCCTGAAACTATAATTTCAATGAACACTTTGACACTAATCTTATTGTATTTACAATTTATCCTATTAAGAAAATTCTTTTCTCATATTATGGTTAACACATATGGAGACTATAATTTTGGATGACACAGGCATCTTGAGTTGAGATTGCTCTAAGTGTTTAAAGGGTCTCCTTCAGTGAATTCAGAATTGTTTTCTGACTCCCATGCATGCATGATTCTCTGGCTTAATGAGAATAAATAAGCACATGTACAACCTGATTCTGTTTGTTCCTTGGTCAAACCTTTGGTAAGGTGAACCCCATTCTGTTTGTTCTTCAACTAACCCTTTTGTAAGGGGGAACCCATTCTGTTTGTTCATAGGACAAACCTTCAGTTAAGAAGGAAACTGGTTCTTTTTGTTTCTTTGGACTAAACCTTTGGTAAATGGTTGACAATCCTCACCAGAACAGTGAGGGTACAGAGTGGTTGCTTCTGGTGGTGAAAAAATGAAGTCCTTAGTTTTTGTCCTTGTCTCATCATCACCTAGCAAAGTGCCTGGTGTAATTGATATTCAATAAATGTTGATTGAATTGAATTGAATTGAATTATCATTCATACTAGTGCACTGTGTTGGAATTTGTCATTTTAATAGTCCTTTCGGATGGAATTCTCATTCATAAATGATGAATTTTCTTTTACTTTGACCAGGTGCTAATTATAACAAGAATGGACTCAGACGATGAACATTGTCTCCTTATTGAAAAACTTAGCAAAATAAAAGGTTAGTATTTCTTTTTCTTTGTTATTGAATTAATTTTAATTTTGTTCAGTCATTTCAGTTGTGTCCCACTCTTCATGACCCCATTTGGGGTTTTCTTGGCAAAGATACTGGAGTGGTTTGTCATTTCCTTCTCTAGCTCATTTTATAGATGAAGAAACTGAGGCAAACACGGTTAAGTGATTTGCCCAGGGTCACATAGCTAGTAAATGTCTGAGGCTGAATTTGAATTCAGATCTTCTTGACTCCAGACCCAGTGCTCTATCCACTGTGCCACCTAGCTGTAATTTCAATGCAGCTCAATACAATTTCAGTGTAATTTTTTTAAGACAATGCCTGGAATTCAATATATAGTTCAAGAATATAGAGAAATATGTTATGTTATTTATGCAATGTCTGTGTTCTCTAATTGTAGAGGTGTTTGTTAGCCTCATTACATTCTTTCAGGAAAGCATCTTCCTTTTTCATATTAGGAGAGCTGAGTAAAACATGATCTTCCCACTTTAGTTCAGTGATGCTGAGTTAGATGAGTGAAAAGAATTTAATTTCCAGCATGCAAATTCATTGATAACTGCCTATATGCACAATTATCTGAGGGATAGCTAGTATGTAAACATTATTTCACTCTAAAGCTGGAAAATTGCTAAAAATGAGGCATAGCATGCCTCTCAGCTGACGATCTCATTTTACTGGGAAAATTGAGTCTGTTCACCATATCCTTCTGTCCATCTCAGAAACCCTTAACATCCTTAACTCACTCTCCTTTCCTCCAATTTCTGATGATGAGTTACTCCTTTTTCCTCTTTATCCAAGCCTCTCCCATTTTCTCTAGTGGATTGCCCTTAAATCATTTGTTCTCTTATCTTCAAACTCTTTCTCTCTACTGGTTTCTTCCCTATTGGCTTCAAACATGGTTAAGATTGCCCTATCCTTAAAATACCTTCACTAGATCCTATCGTCTTCTAAAGCTATCATCCTATATTGTTATTACCTTTCTTAGCCAAACTAGTTGAAAAAGCTATTTATAATCATTGCCTGTGCTTCCCCTCCTCTCACTTACTCCTCAGCCCTTGTAATTTAGCTACCAACTTCATCCTTCAGCTTAAACTGCTCACTTCAAAGTTACTAATGATCTCTTATTTGCCAAATCTGATTATGCTTTCTCAGTCCTCATCCTTCTTACCATATTTGACACTGTTAACCACCCTCCTCGATACCCTCTATTATCTGAGTTTACATTTTTTGACAGGTTATATCTTAGGTACTTTTAAAAAGTATTATTTAGAGTTTTTTATTCTTTTTTTTTTTTAGACAATTGGGGTTAAATGACTTGCCCAAGGTCACACAGCTAGTAGGTGTCAAGCGTTTGGTCTGAGACCAGATATGAACTCAGATCCTCCTGACTTCAGGGCTGGTGCTCTATCCACTGCACCACCTCACTGCCCCAAGTTTTTTTATTCTTTATTGTCTTGAAATCAACTACTAAAATGTAATTCAAGAATTCACTTTCACCCCGGTCTGATTTCCTAATTGTGTCATATAGACAAATACTAAGTCCTCTGAACATCATAATCTGTTGTTAGTGTGCTCTCTTTAAGGTAGATACTCATTATTCCTCCCACTAATCTCTCACCCTGACTTCTTGCCAAATAAATAACATCTTTCCAACCTTCCTCACATCTCCCCTACCAATCGTCCAGTATAAATCTAAAAAGATTTCTTACTCCTTCCAAAATATTCGTTTGCCACTTTAAAAAAATGATGGATAATTTTGATTACATTAAATTGAAAAGTTTTTGCACAAACAAAGCCAATGTATCCAAGATTAGGAGGGAAGCAGGAAACTGTGAAAGAACTTTTACAATCAGTGTCTTTGATAAAGACCTCATTTCTAAAATATATAGAGAACTGAGTCAAATTTATAAGAATACAAGTCATTCCCCAATTGATAAATGGTCAAAGGATATGAATAGGCAGTTTTCAGAGGAAGAAATTAAAGCTATCTATAGTCATATGGGAAAATGTTCTAAATCACTATTTATTAGAGAAATGCAAATCAAAACGACTCTGAGGTACCACATCATATCTATCAGATTGGCTAACATGACAAAACAGAACAATGATAAATGTTGCAGAAAATGTGGGAAAATTGGAAGACTAATGCATTGTTGGTGGAGTTGTGAACTGATCCAACCGTTCTGGAGAGCAATTTGGAACTATGCCCAAAGGACTATAAAATTGTGCATACCCTTTGACTCAGCAATACCACTTCCAGGTCTGTACCCCAAAGAGATCATAAAAATGAGAAAAGGACCCACATGTACAAAACTATTTCTAGCAGCTCTATATGTGGTGGTAAAGAATTGGAAATTGAGGGGATGCACATCAATTGGGGAATGACTAAACAAGTTGTGGTATATGAATGTAATGGAATACTGTTGTGCTGTAAGAAATGATGAGCAGGCAGACTTCAGAAAAACCTGGAAAGACTTGTATGAATTGATGCTAAGGGAAATAAGCAGAATCAGGAGAACACTTAACACAGTAACAGCCACGTTGTGCGATGACTGACTTTGATAGACTTGGCTTTTCTCAGCAATACAAGAATCTAAGACAACTCGAAAAGACTCATGATGGAAAATGCTATCCACATCCAAAGAAAGAACTATGGAGTCTGAATGCAGATGGGAGCATACTATTTGCTCTTCTTTTCCATTGTTGTTTTGTTTTCTTGCTTCATTCATGTGGTTCCTCCCATTAGTTCTAATTGTTCTTTACATCGTGACTAATGGGAAAATATATTTAATATTAATGTATAAGTAGAGCCTGTATCTGATTACATGCCATCTTAGGTGGGGAGAGGGAAAGGGAGAGGGAGAAAATTTAAAACTCAAAATTTTATGGAAATGAATGTTGATGACTAAAAATAAATAAATTAATTATTTAAAAAAAGAAAAAAGAAAGAAACACTAACTCCTTCCTTACACTCAGCAGTTACAGACTCTACTAAGAGCCGTGCTAATGCTTTGTCTTGGTGTGGAAATAGTCCCTGGGTTCTCAGAAGGTGCAACAGTGGAACACAAGCTCTAGCAGCATCTACCCCATTGAAAAGACTTTGAGTTGGGGGCCCATGGTTGGACTGCGTGTGTGCTGTGCAGCAGTCTAGCTGAATTCAGAGAGGCTTTTCATCAAGTAGACTGCAGGGGATTTTGTTGTTTTGCCATATCAATTTTTGAAGACTACCTAGTAAGTAATATGGGTTGCAGTCTGCACTGGTGTAGGGAGATGCTTACAGTGACAAAATTACAGATTTTAAAGTGTTGAAGTAATATAATACGTGTGTGCGTATTTGTGTGTATATACATATATATGTGTGTGTGTTTATAGCTCTGTATCTGATATATAGCAAAATATCTTACTTTCATAGCAATGTGTCTCCAAATCACACTGTAGGATGTTATTCCTGAAACTATTACTTCTAATGGATGGCTTTTACTAACTTAGGTATCATGTTGTCTTCCTGATCTCAATATTTTCTCATCTTGCATCTTGGGGTCCTTTTTGGGCTTGGTCTACTGACACAAAAACATTGACTAAACAGCTGAAAATTGTTTCTTTCAACTTTTTCAATCTTTGGTTACTACTGGCTAGGCTTTTTCTCTTGTGTAATATTATAAAGTTAATACACGCCTCCATCTTTCTGGAGTTTACAAGCTCTTAATCAGTGCATTTAACAAGTAGCTAATATGTTTGCATATGTAATTAATAAATCAATACATCAAATCAGGACTTTAAATAATATGAGTAAACCTGAGGAGATTATGTGGAAAGAGACTACATGCATTTTCTTTCGATTTTTCTGGATCCAAACCATCAAATCCACTCAGAAAGAACTGATTACACACATACTATGTGCCTAGCATGCCACTCTTTTGCATTCTACAGGTGATTACACTATGATATAGTAGATAGTTTGCCATCCCTACAATCAGCATTTCTTATATTTAAATGTTGTCCTATAAGAATTAATGAGATGTGCATATGCTGGTATATTTTTTATTTTTTCATAATATTTTATTTTTCCTAATTACATATAAAGACAACTTTTAACATTCAATTTTTAAAAATTTTGAGTTCCAAATTTTCTCCCTCCTTTCCTCACCACCCCCCCCAAGAAGGTAAGCAATTTGATATAGGTTATATATGTGCAATCATGTAAATCATATTTCCATATTAATCATGTTGTGAAAGAAGAAACAGACCAGAAGGGAAAAAAAATGAAAGAAAAATGAGAAAATAGTATACTTCCATCTGCATTCAGACTCCATCAGTTCTTTCTCTGGGCTAGTATATTTTAAAGTATGTTTTTCTGTATACTCTGGTGAAAAATAAAATAGGGCTCTTAAAGTAAATACTAATATCCCCACTAAATTCTATTGAAATTAAAATATATAGTTAGTAACCACTCTCTAGGGGAACTCAACTCAACCAGTGTGAGTACAAGTTGTTACCTAGAATTGGGTGTTACAATTATATTCAGACTTCCTATTTGAAGGGGGAGAAATTTCATTATGATTTTCTAATGAGATGGGCTTAGTTACACAAATGGTAGATGTTTAATATGGATATTTTAAAATTAAGTATTTCAATTCCACTGAGATTCAAAAAGTAAAAACTGTCTTGTTTAAAACATATACATATGCCAGATATATAACCTGTGTCATACGTTTTCTGTTGTATGAGTGCTAAAAACAACAACAACAACACTCTAAATCCTTTTTAAAAAATCATTTGAGCTCTCACAGAGAAGTAGCCTTTTTGGAGATATCATCAAATGTATTTCTTGGTAGTTAAATGAAGTCATTTTATGTCACTTTAGAAAGAAGTATATAAAATTAAGAACATTGAAAAATGTTTATTTTCCATTTTCTTGCCAAGTCAGGTTTAGGATGTATTTCTTTATCTTCTGCAAAAAGAAAAGTTTTACTGGAATCCAATGATGTTTTAAATGGGTGAGTCAAATTTATTTTTTTATGGATGGTTGACTCTTTAATCAGTATCTGTTGTTCTTTATCCATATTATCCTATGGCTAATAATTTCAAAATATTCAAGTCCAAAAGGGAAATCAGATATATGTCAAGTGGCCTTCAAGGTGATCTTCACTTTTTTCTGTATTCAGATTGGGTAAGAAAATAGCAATGGTGTACCACTCTTGGAGATTATTTCCAGAGAATAATCTTTGGGGATTTTCCTAGTTTGCTGTTTAGAAATTGTTTGTGACGACAATAGCTAGCATTTGTATAGGACCTACTATGAGCCAGATACTGTGCAAGCACTATACAAATCATTTGATCCTCACAACAATACTGAGAGGTAGGTACTATTGTTATCCCCATTTTACAGTTGAAGAAACTAAAGTGAACAGAGGTTAAATGATTTGCCCAGAGTTACAAAGCTAGTAAGTATCTGAGGCCTTATTTGGTCTCAGGTCTGCTTGACTCCAGACCCAGCACTCCATCCACTGAACCACCTGGTTGCCATACAACAGACCTTATGTTACATTCTAGTCCACCAAATGATTAGAGAGACCTTGTTTTTAATGAAAAAAAATCAGAGTTGGATGCCTGAAAATTAAGTAATTCTGGGGGTTTTCATCACTGCTATAATTACTGAGATATCTGTAATATCACTTCTCATTGATTGTAATCTTTCATGAAAGAAAATCTAAAGAGTACTTTGATTACTATGAATAAAACCCCAATAACTATTAAAGAGGATGATCAAAGGATGTAAACAGTTCTTAAAAGAATTGTAAACTATTAACAACCATATGAAAGAATCCTCTGGTTCACTAATAATAAGAAAAGTGAAAATCAAAACAACCTTGAGGTCCCATCTCACACCTAGAAAACTGGCAAAAATGACAAAAAAAAGTAAATAGTCAATGTTGGAAGGGTTGTGTAAAGATAGGCACACTAATGCATTGTTAGTGGAGTTGTGAATTAGTACAACCAGTTTGGAATTACATAATAAAGTAACTAAAAAGTCATTACTCTTTGATTCATATATTCTACTATAAAGTATAAAGCCCAAGGAGGTCATTGATTAAAATGTAAGTTTCCATATACACCAAAATGTACATAGAAACACTTTTTGTGGTAGCAAAGATCTGGAAATTTAGGTGATGTAAGAGTAAAAAATATCAATAAAAATTAAATTAAAAAAAATGAAAGATTAAACTTTACATTGGAAAATCTGGGTACTCAAGTAAAAGAGGAAATTGTGAAGGATGATGTCCAGGGAATGATTGTCATATGAGGAACAGAGGTTGTCAAATGAGGTAGGGGCAAGGGGAAGAAGTTCTTAGTGGACAACCTGCATTTTCAGTAAAGCATAAAGCAAGGATTTCATATGTTACTATGAGAGGAGGGGTTGCTGCTAGAGGTTTGAGGGGATAAGTAAAGGTTCAGAACGATTGCTGTTGAGGATAGGAAGGAGACTCAGTAAAGAAGAGTAAAAAGATTACCTTTTTGATAATTTTCACCAGTTGGGATTAAATATCATAAAAGATTAGATAATATAAATTTGTAGTAGCTTCATTCAACATGATTATAAGACTTCCTTTAGCTCCATTCAACAGCACATGAGTAGGAGTGGAGAAAGGTAAAAGCAATCCAAATTTGGGGTTTGGCAAGTTGTATGTGGGGATGGAGCAAGGAAACAAAAAATTTGACAGTAGAGTGTAGAGTTGAAATGCAAAGAATTCACTAAGAATTCAAGTTTGTGAGGGAAGAGAGTACAGATAGAGTAGGGGTTGATAGTCTGGTGAAATATCAAGGAGTAGAGAGAGTGCAGGTGAGAGTGAGAGAATGGATTTGGTAGGAGTGAGACATAGGGACAGATGGAATGTTAGAAGACTGTGATCAGAAAAAGGGATTTCAATGTTTTTTATCATGAAAGTAGCACACTGATGGGCAATGACATGATGAAAGGTATGAACCTTCCTGTGTGTAACTGAAGTAGAAATGTAGGCCAAAGTTGTTGAGCTAATAGCTTTGTGTATTCAAGGGAACAGCACTCATGAATGTGCCACACCCTGGCATTAGCTAGAGCATTGCAGCCCCTGCCTCAGCCCAGCATGACTCTGCAAAGCCTCTGTCCGTTCTCCTGGTTCTCCTTCTCTTATACCTGGAGCTCACACAACATGGGAGAAGGCTACTCAGTTATTTTCATAGAGACCTCAGCTCTTTTTTCATTGGTCAAGTCCTTTCCAATCTCCACTTCTGCTATACTTTCAGATTTACATTTCAAAATTCTATATTATACCTGGCTAAATTAATGTTTTTCAGTCATAGTTATAGAAAAATTAGATTTAGTGGAATTAATTTTAAAATGTTAAAAAAATGCAATGTTCACTCACTATGGGGAAACTTTCATATACCTTGAGAGACATAAAGTTATAAATAGATGTAGTCTTTTCAGTTATGTCTAACCATAGGATTGCTGTTGCTTGCTTTTTGTTCTGGAAGAGGACCATAATATCAGGAAGGTGATATAATGACTTACACGTGAATTGGATTTAAGTGAGGCAGAGCTGTGCAAAGTCAGCAGCCTTACCCTCTCCTCAGGAGCCATCTGGGTCCAGTGACACATATAGATATCCAGATATAGATTAGGATGACTGGAGACAGCTCCGAATGTAGTGAGAGACCTTAGCCTTTTTAAGCTAAGATCTTTCCCGTCTCAGTTTGTCTGAAGCAACACCCATTCAGTGATTTAGGCTAGGCAAAAATAAGGTAAAGAATGGTCTCTTAAAAAATCAATCTGGGAGAGGAAGACCCTCAGAGTTTCTGGCCAAAACAGAAACAATTGTTATTTACTCTCACACTGAGCCATCAGAAACCAAGTGAGGCTTGGTCTGGGAACTATTGTTGGCCAATCTATGAGAGCCAGAATGATTTGGATTTAAGGCATGTAGTCCATAAAAAAGAAACCTGGCCTGTAAATCCCAAGATATCTTGCTAGGTTTCAGTGATCAAAATTTATATTCCTTTGTGCAGAATACCCACAGGTAAGGATATGATCCCCAACCATAGGATAAGGCCTAATTAAAAATCCTTCCATAGTCTTCTTCTCTAACATGAACAACTGGCATTTGCTGATGGAAGAAACAATACCCATTTGAAAGGTATATATCAGTGGGCCACTGATACAAGCTAATTTATGTAAAAACAATTTGCTCATTAGCTCTGCTTTATTTCATGACATGGAAATAAGAAAAAAAAAAGTAAAGTATATTTGGACCAAATAATTCAAAACACATATATGTTTATCTCCTGTAGCAATGGCTATTTCAATAATATTCAAGATACAAATAACTAAATGGAAATATATAATAATACAAATGGAAACAATTTGTAACCGAAAACACATTTTATTTTGTAATTGCTAAAAATTCAGGATTGTGCTAGCAGTTGAGCAAGTGGCAATAGAAAATTATAATTAATATAGTCACTACCTTAAATGAAGTCAGATGGGAAAGCAGAACTGTAATATGTTTTCTAAAATTGATCTGTTTTCTAAAATTATTCAGTAATCCTCTTTCTACATAGATATGTGTAGATGTAACATTTCCAAAGTTGTCAAGCAGTGCAATATTGTCAGTTTTAAAAGGATGAGATTTTTGAACAATTATAGAAGAATTTCTGATTATGATTTTTCTGCTAGATATTGGTAGTGTTTGGGGAAAACCAGAAAAAAGTAATATGGGTTCTCTGCATTTCAGAACATAAAAATAGGCTATTGTTCTTTACTTCACAGGGGGATATCACAGCATCTAAGGAGGAACAGGAAAAGAGGAAAACCAAATTGGACAGTAAATTAAACAGAAATTGTACTGGTGCTTTTCCTAGATTAGTAGACACATGGGATTAGGGAATGAAACAGCCAGGAATCATGACCCTTTACTGTCATCAAGCTAGCATTCTCAGTGAGGTGTATTTAAATTTACCCATTCCATTGATAAACTCATAATTTTAATGCTGTTTTCTTGCCTCTTCTAGCCTCAAGAAGTGTTCCTGCCTGGTCATACATAATCGACAAATTGGACCTGACTTTCCCTGGACTGAATTCTCGTTCATGGTGGAATATAATTATGTAGAAAACTGTTGCTGGACTGAGCATTGTAAACAATTGGATATTCCTTATATGACCTTTAAAACAGTTCTCCCAGATGGAGTTTTTAAAAGTAAGGAAAGTCCTAAATTACCAGTTTCTTAATTCTGGTTGAAATTTATTATTTGATTTATACCCTAAATATTTTTTGAATCTTTTCTGTTATATTGCTTAAAATGAAGGTTTAATAAACACCACATGCCTAAGAAAAGTATAAAGAACATGCCACTAAGGCTTCCTATAGACCTGCTAATGCAATTCAGTCTTTAATTAATTAAACTTATGAATTGTGTTTATGATAGTGAACCCTTTTATTTAGTTTGTGTGTAATGCATTTTTAAATTAATATTGTTTTAAGCAATCCTCATTAAATGGGCAATGACCATTTAATAGATACCAAATACCAGTGACCCACAAATATTTTGGGTAGGGATCTAAAACCAAACTCAGTCACATTGGCTCCTTCCTACTTTAGCAGTAACTCAAATGATTAAGTTGGCAATTCCAAAGTAGTTAAATTGACCATATCCTGGTATCCTAGAGCATTGAATAATTATTATGGAATAGGATTGAAATGCTGGTAGTAACATATCATTATGAGTCCCAGCTTCCCATTGTGGGCTGCAAAATACAGGACTCTGTCTCTATCACAGACTCTATCTACCCATGGATCTTGCCCCAAGTGATTGTCTTACTGTCTCTCGCTTTAGGTGTAAATAGGAGATCAGAGCCAAGGCTTGGAATTCCAAACTAGTTCTGAAGATTTGGTTACCTTAATGACATCTTTGGGATCTTTGATACATAGCAGTGAAAGCTGAATTGATCCTTCTCCAATGACATTATTCTTAAATATTAGACCTTCATAAAAGGACTAAAAATTATTCTTAATCCAGAATAGGAATATTTAAAGGTTTCAAAGATTTTCCTTCTGTCTTCCTAAGGAAAATGTTCAATGTATATATTCTTTAAATAAAAGAATAATCCAGAAACAAATCCCTATTATTTTTTCTGTTTTAACAAAAGATTGCATGTGTGTATTTATATATGTTTGTATATACCCACTTATATATGTAAACAAGTAAAATTTTTCTTTTATGTAGAAAGTGCCTCGCTGGACAGATTTGGTGGTTTTCTTTTGGAAATTCAAATCCCGTATGTGTTTCTCACATCTGAAGGACTGCTTAACACACCAGAAATACTTCAGCTACTAGAATCCAAGTAAGCCCCAGATTTCCTAATTTTAGCATAGGTACAAATATGCTAGATATTTTCTGTGGTTTATGTAATAATATCCTTCTGGATTCAAAAACTTGCATAACATACATAAGAATACTTTTTTATTTATTTTTGCAAAGGTAGAAAATTATTCCTATCCCAATATACATGCCCCAAACCACTAAGAATGGATAGAGTGGATATGGTGATTATGTAATAAGGGCAATGTAATGAACATTGAAGCAATAGAGATTTTCTTAAATTTCTCTTAGAAGTTTCACTATTTCAGCTAAGTTAATTGTGTTTTTACAGCTACAATATAACTTTAGTGGAAAGATGTTGCAGTGAGTCCTTACAACAGTTTGGGGATACGGATCGTTATGTGGTGGTGACAGTTGATGAGGGCACAGCCATAATTATTCAGGTAAGGCTAAGTGCTCAAGAAAATAAACTTAAGTAAAAAGAAAATAATGTATCTGTGTGTCTCCAAGTCTAATAATAGTGTCATTATTAGTTTTTCATTGAGACTGTGAAAGAAGATTATTTCAAAGAAAAGGGCAATAGATCACTAAGGACTTATTTGTTTTATCAAATAGGTCTAGCTGAAAAGAGAAAAAAGAGCTAGTTTTCAGTTCACAGAAGTCAGTTCCCTTAAGGGGATTTAAAAAGGCAAAAAAGAACAAAATACAGTTGTGTTTGTGTGTGTGTGTGAGAGAGAGAGAGAGAGAGAGAGAGAGAGAGAGAGAGAGAGAGAGATGTTTGTTTTTTAAATAATTTTTATTAATTGATATCTCAACAGGTAAAAAATTGAAAAACAATATGGAATTGAAACTCAAATAGAACCACAAAACCTGAGCTATTAACATTTATTTTTTAAAAAAAAGAATTAAAAACAACTTTAAATTTGAAATTTAACAAAATTTTAATTTGTTTTCTCTCTGTTCTTTTTTTTTTTTGGTGAGGCAATTAGGGTTAAGTGACTTGCTCAGAGTCACACAGCTAGTAAGTGTTATGTGTCTGAGGCTGGATTTGAACTCAGGTCTTCCTGACTCCAAGGCTAGTGCTCTATCTACTGTGTAACCTACCTGCCCCATCTCTGTTCTTTTCTGATCTCTTTTCTGTTTGAGTAGTTATAATTTGGTTGTCACTATATTTTTTATTTAGTGTGTATGTTTCAATTCTATGGCCAATGTCATTTTAATTGAATTGAACAAACACATATAAAAATCTATACAAAACCATAACTTGCAGTTGTAGTACCTAGGGCAGATTCATTTGGTGAGGAAGAGGATGACCTTGGCAAGCCCTGGGAGAGGAGCTTATCTGCAATGTATGTTGGTCCAGAGCAGGTTAGCAGAAGATATCAAAAGGCAAAGGGAATACAAACCCAGGTCATCCTCAGATGTCAGTGCCCTGGAGCAAAGCCTCAGTTGTCCTTCCCTTACTTTCACTTACAATTCTGCACCTATTGCATACACAGCACTGTTCTAAGGGCTGGGCATACAAAGATAGGTTCTAAAACAGAACTCTATAGCTTTCAACCTTAATTCTCCCTCCCTCCTACCTTCCCCTTAACTGTAGAGGACAATACCATTCTCCCAGTCCGTCAGGTTTAAAACCTAGAATTCATCCTAGATTCCTCACTTTCTCACCTCCTGTATCCAATCTGTTGCCAAGGCCTGTTGATTTCACCTTTGCAACATGTCTCCTCTATGCCCCCTTCTCTGTTCTGACACTGCTACCATTCTAATGCAGGTCTTCATCACCTTATATGAGGTCTATTGCAATAGCCTGCTGATGGGTCTGCTTGCCTCAAGTTTCTCCCCACTCCAGTCCATCCTCCATTCATCCATCAAAGTGATTTTCCTAAAGTGCAGGTCCAATTATGTCACTCCCCTGTTCATTAAACCAGGAGTTCCTTATTGCCTCCAAGATTAAATACAAAATCTTCTTCATAGCATTCAAAGCCCTTCATAACCTAACCCCTTCCTACCTTTCTAGCCTTGCTCCCTGACTCGTATTCTTCCATCCAGTGACACTGGTCTCCTTGCTCTTCCACAAACAAGACACTCCATCTCTCAGCTACGGGCATTTTCTCTGACTGTCCCCCATGTCTGGAATTCTCTCCCTTCTCTGCTCCAACTACTGATCTTCCTGGCTTCCTTTAAGTCTCAGCTAAAATCCCACCTTCTACAGGAAGCTTTCCCTAACCCTGTTTAATTCCAGTGCTTCCCCTCTTTTAATTATTTCCTATTTATCCTGTATATAACTGGTTTGTATATATTTGTATGCATGTTGTCTCCCCTATTAGATTGTAAGCTTTTGTAGTGACTTGTCTTTTTGCCTCTTTGTATCACCAGCACTTAGCACAGTGCCTGCACATAGTAGATGCTTAATAAATGTTGATTGATTGACCCAGACTGTGCTCTAAAGGAGGTTTAAAAGTGTACACAAATAACTATGACAAAAGGAATAGTGAAATGAGAGCAAAGGAGCACTGTGAAAAAAATTTGAGGAGAAAGCAACTCTGTTCCTCTAGGGGAAGGGGTAGAATTGGTAAGGCTTCCTTGAAAAGGTGGCACCTGAGCTGGACTTTTAAACAAGGGAGTGACCTAAGAGACTGAAGTGTAAAGGACAGGCCATTTCCAAGTATAGACAAGGGCAGGAATCAGTACCCCATGAAAGTGAAGAGTACTATGAGAAAGGGGAACTAGAGCAGCAATCTCCTCTGGCCCACCAGAATGTAGAAGTACATGAAGGGGGAGAGTATAAAATCAGACTGGAACAGTAGATGAGAGCCAGCTTGCAAAGATCCTATTGTGCCAGCATGACGAATAACTTTGTTTCTTAGATAGTGAGAAGCTACTGAAAGTTTTCAAATAAAGGAATGGCATGCTGAAAGTGGTATATTAGAAAGATTGTTCAGGCAAAGGTGAAGAAAACACATTAGAGAAGTAACTGACTAACATCAGGGTAGCCATCAGGTAGTGCTAGCTGTGGGGCTTTAGATTCCATCCCTTCTGCCCCTCCGCTTCAGAATTTGACGGTGGGGAGAGAGTTTGGGCTCCTCTTCTTAGAGTACTTTGAATGGCTCCAGGTGGTGTGATCTTCCTTTGGCCCTTCTGCCCCTTACTCCGGATGCCTAAAGCATCACTAGGGTATCTTATCATCCTATGCCACCCAACTGCCTCATGACTCAATAGCCTAAAGGTGAATAGTCCCAATTACATGATTCATCTACTTCTATATTGAAGAGCTTATAAGAATTACTAATAAAATAAAAAACATATTATTCTCTCCCATTCAGTTCAGCTCCTAGTATGTATTGGGGTTGGGAGCCAGGGGGAGAGGAGAAGAGTATGGAAGACTAGAGGGGAGGAGCAGGAGGAAAAAGAAAAAAATTCCTTTTCCTTAAGCCTCTGACAATAAGAGACTCTTTTATTTCTGTACACAAACCCTTTACTGGCTCCTCCATTGCAGCCCCCATGTTTTCAGATTTTAAAAAACAGAGCAAATCACAAAGAAGTTATGCTCAACCATAGTTTTATATAAACCAATCAGGGATTAGAAACAACTTAAAAAATTATATAAAAATCATCTAAGACTGCACGGAAAAGAGAAGGGGGAGGAGGGAGTTAAATCTTCCATGTTCTTGCAACTACACTAAACAAGCATAAACAGCCAGGAACTCCATCTCATTCCAGCCACCTTTATTAGTGTTATTTTTCTTTTCTCCTTTCCACTTAAAAATATTTTGTTGATGCATTTTGTCTTTACATCAAAGTTATATCACCTTCACCCCCACCCCCAGACTCAACCTTCCCTTGTGACAAAGAAAAGTAATTAAGGAAAAACATCTAATACGGTGACTATATCTGACAATGTATACAATATTGTTAGTTGTCCCCTGCTTTTTCTCTCCCTCCGATTGGAAAGAAAAAAAAGCAATTCAACTGTGTAAATTGAAACTATCTCTTTCACTGAACACAGTATAATATATGAATGTAATAGAATATTATTGTCCTATAAGAAATGACAAAAAAGATGATTTCAGAGAAAGCTGGAGAGACTTGTATGAACTAATGAAGAATGAAGTGAGCAAAACCAGAAAACAAGTTAATCCAGTAACATTATAAAGACAAATGACTTTGAAAAACATAAGAACCCTTATCGATGCAGTGACCAATCATGATTCTAGAAGACAAATGAAGAAGTGTACTACCCATCTTCTGAGAGGTGATGGATTCAAGACGCAGAATGACACATACATTTTTGAGCAAGATCAATGTGGGAATTTCTTTTGCTTAACTATGCATATTTTTTACAAGGATTTTGCTTTTTTTCTTTTTTCTTTTCCAATGGGGGAGGGAGGTGAGAGGGAGAGAAAATAAATGCTTATTAATTAGAAAATAAATAACTTTTTTAAAATGAAAGAGCTAGAGAACAGGCAATGAAGCATATCCCCACCCCCACCCCACCACCACCACTTTCGCATAGCAAAGAGACGGGGAACTACTGATGCAAAATATTGCATGCATTGTCAGATACGATCACTGTATTAGATGTTTTTCCTTATTTGTTTTTCTTCATCAATGAGGGTTGAGGCTGGGGGTAGAGGAGAGTGAAATGACTGATGTAAAGACAAAATATATTAATAAAACACTTTTTAAAAAAGAAAATTGTGGTAAAAATAGGACTAGCAATAGGGTTGCTCCAAAAGAAAGGAAGAGTCATTAAAACATTTTTAGATGCACAAAATAGAATGAAAGGAAGACTAAAAGGAAGCATAGACAAGCAGAACAGCTTTGAAAGTTATATGTTGAATCTATATATACTTAAAAAGAAAAGCAAGCTGTACATGGAGACTCACAATTTTATATACAATCAATCCTCTTTTTTGTTGTGCTTAGTGTATGGAAATGCTGATTTTATTTAGTGTTTGTTAAGTCCAGAATTTTAAAAATAAATTTTTAAAAGTAGGGAGAAAAGCCAGCAATAAGGAACAGAAATAAGAGAGTCACCTGGCAGACCTGCTTTTGGGCACTAAATTCTGTAAAAGTATGAATAAAACTGCTTGTGTCCCTCCTGTGTTAATTATACTAGTAGAATGGGATGAGAAGTACAATCTAGTCATAGGAGAGGCTTTAGGAAATGATAGTAAGTACTTGCAGCTTGATTGATGCCTTGTTACTCATTTTATATTCTGCTTTAAGCATGTTATTCTGGCTTAGTCAGAAAGATTCAGTGGAGATAAAGGCCTGTGAGCTGACTGAGATAGTTAGTTACCCCTTGATTGTAATAGACCTAGAAGTAGCCATGTTAGGGAGGCCCTGGCTGCTCACATAAGTTTATTTATAAATTTGGTAGTAAAAATTTTGGCTTCTAGTCACAGTGGATAGAACATTGGGCCTAGAGTCATGAAGATCTGAGTTCAAATTCAGTCTCAGACTCTTACTAGCTATGTGACCCTGGACAAGTCATTTAATCTCTGTCTTGCCTCAGTTTCCTAAATTGTAAAATGGAGATAATAACAGCATGTACCTTGTGAGGATCAAATGAAAAAATATTTATGAAGTGCTTAGCACAGCTCCTGGCACATAGTGGGCACTAAATAAGCTTGATTTTGTTTGTTTTCATTCATTTTTTGTGGACAAAGGTGCTGTGGTTGAGAAATACTGGTCTAGAGGGTGAAATATAGCAACATGTTCACACTGGTTCACTCTGAGGTTAAGCCTTATAATTTCATTGTTTAATTTTATCTTCTTTTTTATAGTATAAACAAAATTGACCTTAAGGTTCTCTAGCTGAACTATCTTATCCTTTGCAAAAAGTAGTAACTTTTTTTTCTCTTTGCCTATGCTTATTCCTTCAGTTTCTTATTCTTGTCATTACTATAGTGTTTATAGAACTATACTAAATAATAGTGATGATACTGAACATCCTAGCCTTATTCCTTAACTTACTGGAAAGGTCTTTAACCTTTTTCAGTCACATATAATGTTGGCTATAGGTTTTAGATAGCTAGTATTTGCCCTTTGACAAAAACTTTTTCAGTATCTATTAAATAAACCTTACATTCCTGATAATAATATATAATCTCTTTACAGATAAGGAAAATGAAATCCAGAGAGGTAGTTGCAAGTGACTTAGGGAAAAATATACTTATGCAGTAAATTTTCATGTGTCCAGAGATAGTCAAGATATATTCCACTTCCCCTAGAAAAAATGTTAATAATACATTCTCCTTCCTCCTTTCAATATTAGCCCTATGGCCAGGCTATACAGAGTCATATAATTTACCAGAAAAAAAATTCCTGAAAAACAATCTCAATAGTATGGTTGGCTTCATTAAAAAATCTGTACTTTAGGCTAGTCCCAAGTCCGTACAGTTCTGCTTCATAAAGCTTTAGCTAGTTTCAACAATCATGAATCCTAACTGACCCTTAGTGCTAACTTAGATACACTTGCTTTCCTGCAACTAGTCCCCAAATGATGATGCTTCTTTTCTCTACCTACTGGGATTCCAGCAGAGCTAGTTTTCACTTCTGTACCTAGCTCCTGCTAAACTGTTTCCTCTTAACTCAGTTATTGGCAGGGTAGGGTGTGACTCCCAAAATTTCTTAGCTCATAAACAGATAAATAAATTTAGACTAACTCCACAAAGCAACCTGAGCAAATCCTCATTATGTCAGGACACCAAATAGAGTTTTGGGGAAAGACAAATGATTGCTACGTTCCTTTATACCTCTCAAAATGCAAAAAATCCAGATTTTCCTATAGGTCACCAAACAAATATTTAATTGTATTCTGAAATAATCCAACCATACATACCCCTCAGCAGAGTTCCTTTCTTGAAGTCTAGGATCTAGTTAGACTGTGAGCCGCATTTTCAAAAATGAGAAGACTTCTGCTCATGTCTTTTTTCCTAATGCCTTCGATGTTAATTATTACATTGGGATTGAAATAATCAGATTGATTCTGTGTCTTTTTTTTTATTGATCCTATTTGCAGTTAATTGATTTTTTTTTCCTGTAACTGCCTAAGTCATGATTCTTTGCCTCTGAAGTCAGGTCAGAATTTAGCGAGCTTGTAATGAGTTAAGTTTAGAAATCCAGTTCTCTTATTAATCACTGTTCTATTCTTGAGTCAAGCAAACTTGTTACCTTTGAAGGAAGCAGGTGAATACTGAGAGTCTAGTCTAGTATCTTTACACCGCCAATCTGGCCTTAAGGATGTCTGGTTTGTTATCTCTGTCCTTGCAGATGCAGCCAAATTCAAACAATCAACATTTTATAGTCACAGGAGGTAAAGAGGGGGTTGTTGCTATCCCTCATTCCCAGATTTCCATCTAATCATATTTTCTTCCATCTATGATACTGGTCTTCCTATTTTCTGTACTCTCCAAAACTATAGGATATGTAGGGTGTTCAAGGAGGACTAGGACTTCTGGTGTGGGGGCTTACTCAAACTCTCTTACTATATTTACTAATGAATTCATTAATAAAGCGTCAATTTACCAATAAATAGTATGCTCATGAGGCACATACTTTGTGCCTCAGTCTATCTCATTTTAACTGTTGCAGGATTGTAAGTCTATATACTCAAAGGAATTTACATCAAGTCTTAAAGCAATACCAACAATTTAGTAAAAAAAAAAAAAAGTATTCAAATCCATGAACATTTTATGTTTTGTTTTGTTTTGGTTTTTTTTGGTAGGGTCTGGAAGAACTGAATTATGAAAAGGCATCAGATAACTTCATTTTGAAATTGATAGCATTATCAATCCAGTACAGCTACTGTTGGGTCATTTTGTACTCCAAGGAGAGACTGAATTCAGAGTAGGTAAACAATTTCCTTCTGTGCTGACATGTTATAATGTAAAATATTTTCTTTGACAAGTTTAGTGGGATGGGGTAAATTAATAAGATGTTATATTTCTTTAAGTTATTATTCAGTATTACTGCTCTAATGTCATGTTTCTGAAATCATTATACTTGCTCATTTTGTTTGTATTAAGTTTTTCACATAATTTCTCATTTCCCCACTGCATTTCTCATGTTCAGGGCCATGATTATCAGAGCCAAAATTCTGTGCTGGTCCACAAGGCAGAGAAAACGGGCTTTCCCTGCTTCATTACATTAATTTTGGTGTAAATCAATATTAAACAGCTGGAACTTTAATAGAAGTTAATTTTAAAATACTTATAATTACTTTGACTTTCTATATTTGTTTCCCTAACACAAAAGTAATTTTAAATAAAGGCAACCCCCTATTAAATTCACCAACCTAACAAATAATTTACAGTATAGTGTATACTTAATTAAAGAATTAGAAAGCCATGTCTAGATGTTCACCTTGAGAGAGGATGTTGACATCAGAATGAGCCTTGACTTCACTGACCTTGCCTCTGTGATTTTCCCCCTACTAACTTTCTTTCTGGCTCTCACCTTATCTACTCCAATATGCTAACTTATGGGATGATGGTGGCTAGACATATAAAACAGATCATATAAAGGTATTTATCCTCAGTTCTACTTCTTAAGTAGTGTTTGACTTCAAGTAAATCATTTGTCTCTTTCTGTCTCTGTCTCTCTCCTTTCTCCTCTCTCTTTCTCCCCACCTCCCTCTTCTTTCTCTCTCTCCCCTCCCTCTTTCCATCTCTCCCTTTTCTCTTTTTTATCCATCTCCCTCCCTCTGTCTCTCTTTCTTCCCTCCCTTCTCCATCTCTCCACCTCTTCCCCCTTACATCCCTCTCTTCCTCTCTCTCTTTCTCTTCTCCCTATTTCTACTTCCTGCCTCCCCCCCCGCCCTATTCATTTATCCACATATACAGAGAGAGGCACAGGGAAATATAGATTAGGGAAGAGATCCTGTCTTTGATATGTGTTCCCAGAAGGACCTATACATGTATAACACACAAAAATATTGTTATAAGTAGCAAGATTTAAGAAGATGCCTATTGAATTATTATTTTCCAGACCCCTTTATCCTTACCCACTGGGAAAACAATGCTGGAGAAATATGTGAGATGCCTCATAGAAAATCCTGGTTAGGTAGAACTAGAATTAATTTTAGATACTATTTTTAATCTTTCCTTAATAAGAAGATTCTGATAATATTATAATATACAGAAATGTTTTCTACAGCATTTTGACAATTATATTTGGATGACAAATGAATAACAGAGCTCTATTTTAGGTACTGTCTTACAGGAAAAACACTTCATCACCTAGCACTGATCTATGCAGCTTTGGTTCCATTTGGGGTGAAATCTGAAGAACTGGAAGTGAAGGTGTTTCTTTGAAATATTTTTTGTTATTTGATGTATTTTGTATATGTTATCCATAAATGAAAATGCTACAAAAGATTATATAATCACTGAGAATAAAAATTAAAAGACTATGGGATTTAAAGTCTATGATCCTATAAACTGAAAGGAATCCTTAGATTCCAAAACCCTCATTTTACAGATAAGAAATCTAACCTTGGGGAGGTGCAGTGACTTGCTCAGTGTCTCACAATTAGTAAATAGTGGAACTGGGATTTGAACCCAGGTCATCTAACTCTAAATCTAGTGTTCTTTCTACTATACCACATGATCCACTACAGGTTAAAAAAGACAAAAACTAGTGTCCAAAGAAAGAAGTAAAAGCTCAAAAATTCCTGAATAATCTTTTGCTTATCCAAAAGCTGTCAGTCTATCATCCTGCAATGCAAAACTTGTGAATTTAAAAGCTAAATTTGTTACTAATCACTAAAGGCCTGTGATGAATCAGCCAGTCTGTCAGTTATAGATTTTGAGTGGGAAGGGACCTAAGATTGTTTAGTACAGCCTCCTCATTTACAGATTTGGAAACTGAAGTTCAAGGAAATGCAATCAGAAGAATGATGAGATTTCCCTGAGGTCACACAGTAGCAAGTAGGTGGGTGTCCACATTCCAATTTTCATGACAGCTTATTAGCTTGCTCACAATTAAGATATATTGGAATTTAGGTGATGATATAATTAAATGTGATTTAAAAAATAATGCTAGTTGAGCTGAAGGGCAATCTGAAGATGCTCCAGATTCTTTTGGTCAGTGTAGATAATCATGAGATCCCTCAAGATGGTGTCTCCATACTTCAGATGTTACCTAGAAATAATGTCTTTTTGTAGAACTTGCAGATAGTGCAAATTACAGAAATGAGTGTACATAAGAAAATAGTAAGGTGGTAATGTTATTTTTGGGAGTAGAGCCCCCATGGAAACATTGAGGTCTGAAAATGGGGTTCATATTGGAATAATAAATGGTTTAAAACATTAGGGCCTACGAGGACTGAAAACGATATTCATTCATAGAACCTTGTGACTCTTATCAAAAGCTGCAGAGATAAATGGAAGAGAAAAAACTGCTCCCATAGATCTGATAAACCTAGTACTACAGTTAGTGGCATGTACAACATAATTAGAAGAATAACAAAAGAGAGTACCAATAACAGAAGACAAAAATCCAAGAAGAGATCCAACATTAAAACTCATGGTCTCAGATATGTATGTACAGATGCACAAAGTATGAGCAACACACAGGGTTAACTGAAGATAGTAGTGCAAGGAGGCAAATTTTTTTTTGTTTTTTTTAATTTATTTTGATTTATCAATAATCACTTCCATATGCTTTTGAGTTTAAAATTTGTCTCCCCCTTCTTCCCCACCACCCTCCCCAAGACGGTGCACAATATGATATAGGCTATACATTTACATTCATATTAAACATATTTTCACATTAATGATGTTGTAAGTAAAAATTAAAACCAATAGGAGGAACCATCAGAAAGAGGAAACAAAACTCAACAGAAGAGAAAAAAAAAATAGCAATTCAACTTCCATAGTTCTTTCTTTGGATGTGGATAGTATTTTCCATCACAAGTCCTCTAAAGGTGTCTTAGATCCTTGTATTGCCAGGAAGGGTTAAGTTTATCAATATTAGTCATCACACAACGTGGCTGTTATTGTGTACAATGTTCTCTTGGTTCTGCTCACTTCACTCAGCATCAGCCCATACAAGTCTTCCCAGGTTTTTCTGAAGTCAGCCTGTTCATCATTTCTTATAGTACAATAGTATTCCATCACATTCATATACCACAACTTGCTCAGCCATTCCGCAATTGATGGGCATCCTCTCAATTTCCAATTCTTTGCCACCACAGAAAGAGCCGCTATGAATATTTTTGTACATGTAGTTCCTTTTCCCATTTGTGTGATCTCTTTGGGATATAGCCCTAGAAGTGCTGTTGCTGGGTCAAAGGGTATGATGAACATTTTTATAGCTCTTTGGGTATAGTTCCAAATTGCTCTCCAAAATGGTTGGATCACTTCACAACTCCACCAACAATGCATTAGTGTTCCAATTTTCCCACATCTTTTCCAACATTTATCATTTTCCTGTTTTGTCATGTTGACCATTCTGATAGGTGTGATGTGGTACCTCAGAGTTGTTTTGATTTGCATTTCTCTAATCAATAGTGATTTAGAGCATTTTTTCATATGACTATAGATGGCTTTAATTTCTTCATCTGAGAATTGTCTGTTCATATCCTTTGACCACTTATCAATTGGGGAATGGCTTGTATTCTTATAAATTTGACTTAATTCTCTATATATTTTAGAAATGAGGCCCTTATCAGAGAGACTGGTTGTAAAAATTCTTTTCCAATGTTCTACTTTCCTTCTAATCTTAGTTGCATTGGCTTTGCTTGTGCAAAAACTTTTCAATTTAATGTAATCAAAATTATCTAATTTGCTTTTTGTAATGTTCTCTATCTCCTATTTGGTCATGAATTCTTCTGTTCTCCATAGATCTGACAGGTAAAATATTCCTTGCTCTCCCAGTTTGCTTATAATATCAGCTTTTATATCTAAATCATCAACTCATTTTGACTTTATTTTGGTGTATGGTGTGAGATTTTGGTCTATGCCTAGTTTCTGCCATACTCTTTTCCAGTTTTCCCAGCAGTTTTTTTCAAAGAGTGGGTTCTTATCCCAGAAGCTGGGGTCTTTAGGTTTATCAAATAATAGATTACTGTAGTCATTGACTACCGTGCCTTGCGTATTTAAGCTATTTCACTGATCCACCATTCTATTTCTTAGCCAGTACCAAGCAGTTTTGATGATTGCTGCTTTATAATGCAATTTAAGATCTGGAATGGCTAGCCCAGCTTCCCCTGCATTTCTTTTCATTAGTTCTCTTGATATTCTGGACATTTTGTTCTTCCAAATGAATCTTGTTATTATTTTTTCCAACTCTATAAAATAATTTTTTGGTAGTTTGATTGGTATGGCACTGAATAAGTAAATTAGCTTAGGTAGAATTGTCATTTTTATTATATTAGCTTGGCCTACCCATGAGCAACTGATGTTTTTCCAATTATTTAGATCTGACTTTATTTGTGTGAAAAGTGTTTTGTAATTGTGTTCATAGAGTTCCTGGGAGGTAGACTCCTAAATATTTTATAATGTCTACAGTAAGTTTAAATGGAATTTCTCTTTCTATCTCTTGCTGTTGGGCTTTGTTGGTAATATATAGACATGCCAATGATTTATGTGCAAAGAGGCAAATTTTATGTCATAGCTATGTCATAGCTTATGTCATCACTAGGACTTGAGTTTGGAATTCAGCCCTAGAATATGAATTCATATTCATGTGAGGAAATCCAGAAAATTAAGGGAAAAAAACATGGAGGTGTGACTTTTAAAAAGTACAAGAGACATAGTTTCTGGGTAACTAATCATTTTATTAATAATGCTAACATTTTATTAATATTTTATTAATGAAATGGTCATTTGGCCATCCCTCTTAGACAAAAGACAAATCACGGTAGTGGGCTCACAGTTTATGTGCCCTTGGAAGAGTGGGTGTTCCTGAGGGTGGCAATCAACTCTGGTTAAAAATTAATGAGAGAATGAATAGTGTAATAAGAAGCAGACCTTTTCTAATGAGGGACTAGGGGACAGGCATGTACTTCCAAATCACCCCCAGTCACAGGAAATCTAGACAAAGGATCTATATACCCCACCCGAGCCTGAGTAGAACACAATGGGCCAGAAGTTTCACCTTAGATTAAATTTCTTGTAAGGTTGGATGGAATAGCAATACCTAGATTGAGGAAAATGTTAATGCTATCTGCTATCATCAGTCCTGTCTTTCAGAGGCTGGGCCTTGATATGAAGACTTTAGAAAAAGGGGAAAAACTCTACATCTACCCAAATCATTGGTTATTAATAATTGTTTCTCTCAGTGAAGAACAATTGACCAAAGACCAGTGAAGGTAGAAATAGAAGCAATATTATAGGGGTATACTACAGACCACCTGAAAAGAAGGATAAATTAGAGAAGGAATATGGAAATGTCATAAGTCTAACAATGATAGTATAATGATAGTATATTTCAGTTATCAGGACATGTGTTGGCATTCTGTCTGTCAATGGCAGAACAGCTAGTCAATTTGTAACTTCATTTCAAAAGGTAGAAGCAATGACCAATGGAATTGCTAATCTAGATCTGATTCTGGCCAATAAGGAAGAAATGGTTTCTGAAGCAGGAACAATAGGAACACTGGGGGCAAGTGACTGTTCCATTATTAAGTTCACGATAGAGGAAATGAAAGTCATGCACCTTTTAATGTGCATGCTATATTTTGGGAAAGCAGATATCAAAAAGTTCAGAAAAAGAACAGCTACTGTGTAGCGGCCTATTATTGAAAGGGAGAGGCATCACTAAAAGAATGGGAAGTTGTTAAGAATGAAATTACAATAAAGCAAGCAAAATTTATTTTGAAGAGGAAAAAGAGGAACTTACTGAAGAGACTGATTTGGACACTCACTGCCATACGGATTTTAAAAGGATGTAGAGAAAATGTAAACAAGAGCAAGTAACAAAATTAGAACTCAAAAGAATAGCATAGGCTTATAAGAATTGTGTCAAGTCTAATACAGTCAGAGTAATCTGAAGCTGCTGAGCTGATAAGTACAACAAAAAGAATTGGAGTAGAACAGGGTGATCTGAAAAAGAATAAGAACACTCACTATTCTGGATGAAGAAGATGATGATGCTAGATAATAGTGAGAAGGCTGAACTGCTTGACTCTTATTTTGCTTCTGTTTTATCTTCTAAGGAGAATGATCTTTGGATTGAAAAGAATAAAAATGAATATAGTTAGCAGGAATTGTAAACCCAAGATGAGTGAAGAAATAACAAAACTGCATTTAACTGTCCTAAATGAATTCAACCCACCAGGCCTGAATAAAAATTAAAA